ACGCACTAATACGGGCCTTCCCTAGAAAACAGGAAGCAAGGTATACAAAAATAGCACATAGAAAACTATACTCAACATCACACTGTTGCGGCGTGCAACCCGATCCAGATAACATACCCATGGCGGCGTGCCACCCGATCCACACATAGATCTCACATAAGGAGATGCACATCAAGCCAAATTTGCTCATTACAACAAAATACCGAGAATCTCTCGTAAGCATGCTAAGTGCATAATAATATCTCTGAGGGACATATAGCGTTATAAGCTACAAAACTCAAGCACAATTGAGGTGTGATATACAGTCTGAATTTCAAGAGCCAAGATGCTCATATAACGTCATTCCTACGCGGATTCTCAACATATAAGCAATTTCTCAAGTCGTCTCACAACTCACACGGCGCAATGCATCACTACACGAAATATCTGACAACGAAGCATCAACCTGCCTACTCCTCCATGAGGACCGCGTTACTAAAATGCACACATCTGGCCCGATATAGAGCCATTATTCACATTAAATCCATTCACTGACTTCAAGCTGATTCTGATTACGTTGAACTAGCCTGAAAATCCTTTCAAAGGTCCATAATAACTCCCATTTTTCTCATAACACACAAGAACAACCGTCATAATCGGGGTAATCCTCCCCAGTTCACAACCCAATAGGTCAAGTGCCCTCCATGCATGAATCCCCAAGTTAACGACACTATTACAAACTTCATACTTGGTTTACATCTTTAATCAATCAAGTGATCACATGCCACACTTATATAATCTTCCCGTGGGACACACTCCCACAACCTACCACAACAATATCTGGAGCGTACCTCCAAACCANAGGAGGATTGAGGGTATGCTCGCCAGGGAGCGAGGGGCTTAAGGAGAGGGAGGCCCAATTGGAACGTAGGGGGGCGGAACTGGAGGAGACGGATGGGGAGCTAGTGAGGGACGTTGCTCGTAATAGTGAGCTGGAGGCTCTCCTCAGGGCGAAGGATGATGAACTCGAATTGAATCGAGGGGTGGCTCCGGAGAATACCGACTTGCAGCAGAGGGTAGCTAGTCTGACCGCCGAGCTTGGTGTTAGAATGGCGGAAATCAACAGACTTAAGGGCGAGCTGAGTGCTAATGCCAACTAATTGACCGCGTTGCAGAGGCAAGTCGCCCTTCCGAGGTCTGAAGAAGCGGAATTCCATTCTCGGCCCTCCTCGTCTCGTCCCCCATCTGGTCGGGGCCCGCATCGTAGTGCCTATGAGATGTGGGTCTATGCAGAGGCTCGGCTTGATGTATACAGAGCTTTACACGCAGAGGGTCGAGCGACGGAGGCGGAGGTTCAGGTGGTGCGAAATGAAGCGCGCATAGCTCGTGAATTATGTGGGTATTACCCCGACTCTCCCGATGGGGAGGATGTTGCTTCCGAGGCTGTCGATCGCCTTGACTCAGACTCGTGGTATGAGGACGCTTATCCCATAGGGGGTGGTAGTTAGTTTAAGCTTGTATATTTTGCTTCCGCATCTTCTTTGGTTGTGGGGTGTACCAAAATCTGTCCGTGTGGACGAATGTAAATAATTTTTGTTGTAATATAAACTTTTGTTTTTGTCGCTTCGTCTGTTTGTTGCTTCTCCCTTTTTGTTGTTTTTGTTTTACATTTAATCTTCGAGGATATTTCCTTTCAGAAGATGTCGAGGTTCGAACAAGATGGAACTGATGTCGATGGCCTTTAGCCGTTAGGATGTTGCTTCGACTATCGTCGAAGTAGTATCCGTCGTGGTTCGAACGAGGTCGAACCAATGTCGATGGCCTTAGCCGTTAGGACGTTACTTCGACCGTCGTCGAAGTAGTATCTGTCGAGGTCGAACCATTATCGATGGCCTTAGTCGTTAGGACGTTTGCTTCTGTTGTCGAAGTAGTATCTGTCGTGGTTCGAACGAGGTCGAACTAATGTCGATGGCCTTAGCAGTTAAGACGTTGCTTCGACTGTCGTCGAAGTAATATCTGTCGTGGTTCGAACGAGGTCGAACCAATGTCTGTGGCCTTAGCCGTTAGGATGTTACTTCGACTGTCATCAAAGTAGTATCCATCGAGGTCGAACCAATGTCGATGACCTTAGGCGTTAGGACATTTGCTTCGACTGTCGTCGAAGTAGTATCCGTCGTGGTTCGAACGAGGTCGAACCAATGTCGATGGCCTTAGCCGTTAGGACGTTACTTCGACCGTCGTCGAAGTAGTATCCGTCGAGGTCGAACACAATGTCGATGGCCTTAGCCGTTAGGACGTTGCTTCGACTGTCGTCGAAGTAGTATCCGTCATGGTTCGAACGAGGTTGAGCCAATATCTATGGCCTTAGCCGTTAGGACGTTTCTTCGACTGTCGTCGAAGTAGTATCCGTGGTTTGAACGAGGTCGAACCAATGTCGATGGCCTTAGCCGCTAGGATGTTACTTCGACCGTCGTCGAAGTAGTATCCGTCGAGGTCGAATCACTATCGATGGCCTTAGCCGTTAGGACGTTGCTTCGACTGTCGTCGAAGTAGTATCCGTCGTGGTTCGAACGAGGTCGAACCAATGTCGATGACGCTTATACGATGGAGATCGACTTCTGCGTATACAATGGAGATTGACTTCTGTTCATATAATGGAGATTTCTGTTTATACAATGGAGATCGACTTCTGCGTATACAATGGAGATTGACTTCTATTCATATAATGGAGATTTCTGTTTATACAATGGAGATCGACTTCTGCGTATACAATGGAGACTGACTAGGGTAGTCCCTTCATTACTTCGGTCTAGAGACCGTGTTGATGGACCGAGGTGATGAATTGCGCTTTTGATCCACGGGGTATCCCCTTTGCCGCCTCGTTAAAAACCTCCCCGAGAAAACCCAATCGGGACAAAACTCGGGTGAGGGAAAAAGAGTACGGCTTGGGAGACGCCTCTCAGAAGTGGAAGTATTTGAGGTGGGCGACGTTCCAGTTGTTTTGGAGTGATTTTCCTTCCATTGTTTCCAGTTGGAACGCTCCTTTGTTTGCAGCTGCTGTGATTTTATACGTCCCATCCCAGTTGGTTCCCAATTTTCCCTCGTTTGGGTCTTTCGATGCCAGTGTTTTGGCCTTGAGGACGTAGTCGCTAACTTTAAGTGATCTTACTTTGGTTTTTCTATTGTAGTATCTCTCTACCTGCTGTTTCTGGGCTATCATTCTTATATGGGCCATGTCTCTCCGTTCTTCGACTTCATCTAGGTCTTGTAACCTATTTTCGTCGTTACCCGCCCCGCTGTCATGGGAGTATCTCAGGCTTGGCTCCCCGATCTCGACGGGTATGACTGCATCGGTCCCGTAGACCAGTGAATATGGCGTTTCTCCCGTGCTGGACTTTGGCGTTGTTCGGTATGCCCATAGTACTTCAGGCAGTAATTCGGGCCATAACCCTTTAGCTTCCTCGAGCTTCTTTTTCAATATGTTCAATATTACTTTGTTGGAAGATTCGGCTTGACCGTTGGCGGCTGGGTGGTATGGAGTGGAGAGTATCCGCTTGATGTGCCATTTTTCGAAGAACTCGGCCGTTTTCTTTCCGACGAACTGAGGCCCATTGTCGCAGCTGATTTCTTTGGGGATGCCGAAGCGGCATATAACATTTTTCCATATAAAAGCGATGACCTCCTGTTCGCGTATTTGGGCGTACGCACCTGCTTCCACCCATTTAGAGAAATAGTCAGTTAAAACTAAAAGGGAACGTACCTTTCCTCGTCCAGCCGGCAGGGGGCCGATTATGTCCATCCCCCATTTTATGAAGGGCCATGGCGAAGTGACTGAATGGAGGAGTTCTCCCGCTTGATGTATCATGGGGGCGTATTTTTGACACTGCTCGCATCTCCGGACGTAGTCTGCTGCTTCTTTTTTCATAGTAGGCCAGTAATAGCCGGCGCGGATGAGGCATCGGACGAGGGCACGGTTCCCAGTGTGTGCGCCGCAATGGCCCTCGTGCACCTCCTCCAATACTTGTCTTGTTTGCTGGGGTCCGAGGCATTTAGCAAGGGGGCCGCCGAACGTTCTTTTGTAGAGGTCATGATTTACCAGGCTGTATCGGGCAGCTTGCACGCAGAGTTTCTTGGCTTCTTTTTTGTCTTGTGTGAGTGTTCCGTCCTACAGATAGGATACAAAGCGGTTGCGCCAGTCCCAGGTTAAGTTAAAGGAGAATACCTCGACGTGATCTATGGTTGAATGGAGGAGAGTGACCACGTTTCCTTTGTTGATATTTTTGGTGGTTGCAGCTAGCTTGGCTAGGCCATCTGCTTCAATGTTTTGTGCCCTAGGTATCTGCTCGAGGCGGCATTCGTCGAATTCTGGCATCAGCTTGTGGATCTCTGATTGATACTTTTTTAGTCTTTGTTCTTTAATTTGGAAAGTCCCGGTGACTTGATTTACGACGAGTTGAGAGTCGCAGTGGAGGATGAGTCACCGGGCTCTGTATTTGAGTGCTAACTTCATATCTGCAACCACAGTGTCGTACTCGGCCTCGTTGTTAGTCATCTCGGGACATCGTATGGACTGGCGAATTACTTCACCTGTAGGGACTTCGAGGACGAGTCCTAGTCCCGATCCTGAGGCATTCGAGGCTCTGTCAGTATAGAGGGTCCGAAGGTTTGTAAGAGTGGAGGCACGAAGGGCCTCTTGTTCTGCTTCCGGCAAAATTTCTGCACTGAAATCGGCGACAAAGTCGGTGAGTGCCTGCGACTTAATGGCAGTTCGCGGGTGCTACGTTATGTTGTGCTCGCTGAGCTCTATGGCCCATTTGGCGAGTCTGCCTGAGAGCTCAGGTTTATGCAGGATGCCCCTTATGAGAAATGTTGTTATTACCTTTATGGGGTGACATTGAATGTAGGGTCTAAGCTTTCGCGAAGCTACGAGTAGTGCCAGAGCCAGTTTTTCAAGGTGCGGGTACCTTGTTTTGGCATCTATTAAGGTTTTGCTGATATAGTAAATGGGGGATTGTGTACCTTTATTTTCGCGGACCAGGACTGCGCTCAAGGCGACTTCGGATACCGCTAGATATACGAGCAGACTTTCGCCTGGGTCTGCCTTGACGAGCAGGGGTGGTGAGCACAGATATGCTTTCAGTTTCCTCAGGGCGTCGATGCATTCTTCGTTCCATTGTAGTCCATGATCTTTTCTCAGTACATTGAAGAACTTGTGGCACTTGTCCGAGGATCGTGAAATGAACCTTGATAGGGCGGCTATTCGCGCTGTCAGCTTCTGTACCTATTTCTTGTTGTTCACTACCTCAGCTATTGAGTCTATGGCCTTGATCTGATCCGGGTTGACCTCGATGCCTCGTTGTGACACAAGGAAACCCAAAAATTTTCCTGTGGCTACATCGAAGGCACATTTTTCCGGATTCAGTTTCATTCCGTACCGTTTCAATATCTCGAAGGCTTCTTTCAAGTGACCGATATGGTCTTCTTTCTTGGCCGATTTCACCAGCATGTCATCGATATAGACCTCCATTGTCTTGCCGAGCTATTCCTTGAACATCTTGGTAACTAACCTCTGGTATGTGGCCCCCGCGTTCTTGAGTCCGAATGGCATCACATTATAGCAGTAAGTCCCTTGGTGGATGATGAAAGTTGTTTTCTCTTGATCCTCTTCGTCCATTAGGATTTGGTTGTAGCCGGAGTAGGCATCCAAGAAACTCAGCAGTTCGTGTCCCGCTGTTGCGTCGATCAGCTGGTCGATATGTGGTAATAGAAAGGAATCTTTTGGACATGCCTTGTTCAGATTGGTGAAGTCCACGCACATTCTCCACTTGCCGTTTTTCTTCTTGACCATGACCACATTAGCGACCCATTAGGGGTATTTCGATTCTCTGATGGAGCCGTCAGCCAGTAATTTGTCCACTTCTTCACTGACTGCCTCATTGATTGCAACATTGAATTTCCTCCTCATCTGCCACACGGGCGGATAAAGCGGATCGATATTCAACTTATGAGTGGTAATGTCTTTCGGGATCCCCGGCATATCTGAGTGCGAGAAGGCAAATAGATCGGCATTGTTAGTCAAAAATTCACGATACTTACCTGGCTCGGAGAGGTTGTGTCCGATATAAGCCTTTTTTTGTATTGTCGGCGTCGTCCAGGTGTACCGGGTCGAGATCTTCAGTGGTTGCCTTGCAAGCTTCTACAACGTCGGGGTCTATGATGATCTCTGCTGGCAGGTCGATTTTGGCTCCCGACATGGTTGATTGCTATGCCTTCGCACTTGCCTCTTTTAACTGTTTGGTATGCGTGCAGTCTTGGGCGATCCTGTAGCATTCCTGGGCGGTACGCGGCTCGCCTCGAATGCTGAAAATTTCCCACAGGGTGGGAAACTTGATTACCTGATAGAAGCTTGAGGGGACGGCCCGCATGGCGTGTATCCATGGGCGTCCTATGATAGCATTATAAGCGGTTTCCTGGTCCATGACGTGGAATGTAGTTTCCAGCGTGACTCCCCCATCCAGGATTGGCAGTGTTATTTCTCCAGATGTCCGCTCTACTACATTATTAAAACCCGTTAGTGTTATGCAACGTAGTATTATCTTTTCCTCGAGCTTCATTCGCATGAGAACTCTCGGGTGGATAATACAACGCACCGCTTCTGTCGTCTACCATAACTGTTTTCACATCTGTTTCAGCTATGCGTAATGTTATGACTAGAGCATCGTAATGAGGGAAAGACAAACCGTCGGACCCTGACTTTTAGAAGGTGATACTATCTTCAAAGCCATCATACCGTTCGTGAGTGATTGTACGCTTCAGCTTATACGTGATGATGGACTTTACGTGGTTGATCACCGAGTTGTCGCCACCACCGATAATCATTTGTATGGTACGTGCCGGCGACGGTGGCCTGGGTGGTCCTTGAAATGGGTCACGCCCTCTGGCGAAGTTAGCCTGTCCTTTAGCGCTGAGCAGTTCTTTGAGGTATCCCCGGTTCAGCATTCTGACCACCTCCTATCGTAAACCTATGCAGTCTTCGGTCTTGTGTCCTCTTTCCAGATGGAATTCGGAGTACGTTTGACCTTCTTGCACTTGGGTCCGATTTCATCTTTTGTGGCCATTGCACCTGCGTGCCCAGCTTTTCTAGTGCGTACACTATTTCTGAAGGGGAAACACAAAAGTTATGAGCAGATAATAATGGGGGCATACCTCTTTCATTTCGAAGGGGCGCGATATGTTGTGACACGGCGTCTGTATGCCTCGGGGGAGGTGGATTCGGAGTTCTGACATAGGGCTGATGCCTTTCTCTGTTGAAGCGTGGGAGCCGATCCCTTCGTCCGTCGTTGCGTTGATCTCTCCTTATCTCGGACTGTACTGACGTTAGTCGCTGGGTTGGACCTTTGAGATCGTCTTCATCTGCTCTTACTTCGGCGCAGTAGGCATTATGGATCTCCTCCCATGTGGTGGGAGGGTACTTCATGAGTCTGTTGAGTAACTTCTTGGTCGCCTTTGACCCGCTTCTACTTAGCCTGTTCTGGAAGGTTGCGGCCGCCATTCCTTCCGATGTATTCGGCAGTCCCATTCTTACCCTGTTAAACCGGGCCAGGAAGTCCCGAAGTCCTTCGCCCGCCGTTTGCCTGATGGCGAAGATGTCGTTGACCCTAGCTTCAGCCTTCTTTGCTCCTGCATGAGCGATAGCGAATTTATCTGCCATCTCCTCGAATGTTGATATCGACCGTGCTGGTAGTTGAGAATACCATGTTAACGCTCCTCCTGTCAAAGTTTCACCGAACTTTTTCAACAGCACGGATGGCACTTGTTCTTTTGAAAAGACGTTGCCTTTTACCGTGGTGACATAATGAATCAGGTGATCTTCCGGATCCGTGGTCCCGTCGTATATTTTCAAGTATAGTGGCATTTTGAAGGTTTTCAGGATGGGGTGGGGAGCAGCTTCCTCACTGTACGGTTGCTCGACAAATCTTCCCACATCGCGCTTTGGCAGCAGATTAGGGGCGCCGGGTATTTTGTCAACCCTTTCCTGGTGTTCTTTCATTTGTTCACGAAGCATTTTGTTCTCGTTTTCCATCTCTTCCATTTTCTTTAGGATGGTCGCGAGTGCACCATCACTTGCATCGGTGATAGTGCGGGTGTTTCTTGTTCGTACAGTGCTTGGCTCGCCATCGAAAGCAGTGATTTCCGCCGTCGGTGAATCTCCGTTATTTCCTTGAGGGGGTTTTTCAAGCATGGTGTGTAGAGCTCTTGTCAACCACTCCTCTAATAGCTTTTTGACTGCTGGTGATGTTTCTTTCACCGTGAACGTCGAAGTTCCTCTTTCGCGCAAGATTGTCAGATCCTCGAGTATAGAGGGTGAGATCTCCCCCTCCGGTGTACCTCTTGGTGTTATATTCTCGGTATCTTCTCTACCGGCTTCGTCAAGGGAGTCCAAGAGGTTGTTTGAGACATTCGCTATCGCCTTCAACCTTGCTTCTTTCTCTGCCATCGCCGGTTTCTCTGGAGTGCGAAGGATAGAGATCGTTGTTTTTGATATCCCAGGTGAGAACTATGATTTCGACTACAGAAATCCCCACAGACGGCGCCAAATTGTTTTACTCAAAAGATGTTAAGCTCTTTTTAAGCAAATTAATCAAAGAGATGAAGGGGTAAATCGTCAAAGATAATATACCCTAAGATTGTTTCAATAATCGGGACAGTAATAATGATAAAAGAGAGAGAGAGAGAATCAGTTTTTTCTATTCCCAGTCCCCCATATTACAAGGCTCGGATCCCCTTTATATAATGGGGGATCTAAGCTGAGTCATGAGAACGACAAAATCAGTGTACTCTATGGCAGAGCCGATGACAGGTCGAGGTCGTTCCTCCTCTTACCCCTGGGTCGTTCCTTCGTATTGTATCGTAAACATGCAGTGGTTGGTCATGTTGACGGTAGGATGTGATTGGTCAAATTCGACCCATACAACTATAATAACATTATTTTGCTCATTACATATAGTAATTTTTCTCTTATTCCTTACTATCATGATTAAGCAGAGAGCAATTTCAATATTTACCACTAAGTATAATGTATGAAACAATTTGAATTGACCAAGTCCATTTTAAGCAAAAACGTCTTTGTACATGCTTTTTCTAAATTCTCGAAATGATTTCATTACCACTAAGTACAATATTAAAATTTTTATACATTTGAAAAAATCAAATATATTTTGAAGTAATAAAATAAGTGGATCCACTTGGGGCATTCAAATATTAGTATGGAGCTCCGCAGGTGGGTTGATGTTATGGTTATTGCCCCTTGAATTTGTCAGCAGACACACTTGTATCAAAGAGACTATCCTGTTTATATTAATTCAGGACCAAGAGCCAGAAGCGGATCTAGCCTTCTGACACTGGGTTCAACTGAATCCATAACTTTCGATGCGAAGGATAAATTTATGTTTAAAAATCCACTAAAATTACAACAAAGAGTAGATATGATCAAGCCAAACTCTAGTCCTAAAAAGGATAAGCAGTCGCTGCAAATATAATCCGGTCTAAAAGTCCGGAGTCGAATCTCACAGAGAACTAAGGTTTAGCTACAACTGTTCACTATCACCAAGAAGACAAGTTCGAAGAATTTCTATGTTATAAATATGAAAATTCTTTTGTCTAACTAATTAACTAACAAATTGAAATAGAAAATTAACAACTAAAGATACTAAGAGTTCAAGTCAAGATTAAGGAGGTCTAGAGTTATGATTTCCCCAGTTGTCGGAATCCTTCCTGCTATGTCTCCTATAATTTCGCCTAATTATTCTCTTATGATTGTGAGCACTTCAGGTATCGTAGTTCTCTCCCGAGAAATTACAACAATTTACTAGACATATTCTCCCGAACAACGCTAGCTGGCACAATCTCGCCGCTCACTATGACCACGTCAAGGCTTTGTTATTCCTAAACCCACCTTTAAACCCGCCGTAGTGATTTCTCATATACATTAGGAGTGACGTTGTTCAACAACTACCTAAATATGTACCCTTTCCCAAGCAATACATAATAAATAGGCACAGTCAATTAGTGGCCATTCAATCAACAGAAATAAGCATGTAGTTGAACAAGTAAAGAAATTCAAAGGCTACATTATATTCAAACTTAACAAGAATCTGTAACGCGACTGGTCGTTTTAAGCATTTGCACTTCGCTCGGTAGTTTACGGGCGTGAGTAGCTCCGTATGATGTATTTTGACTTATGTGAACCGTCGATTTTGGTTTTCAGGTTATTCGGGACTGATTTGGGAAAATGATTCTCAACTAGGGAGTTTTAAATTTGAAAGAGTTGACCGAGTTTAACTTTTTATTATTTGACCTCGGATTGGATTTTTGATGGTTCCGTTAGCTCCTTTGGGTAATTTTGGACTTAGGAGCGTTTTCGGATTGTGATTAGGAGGTCCGTAGTTGAATTTGGCTCGAAATGGCGAAAGTTGAATATTTTGGAAAGTTTGATCAATAGTGGACTTTTTGATATCGGGGTCGGAT